GACCATGGCCTTTTCCATTACCACTTTATAGCTGATATGCCATGGAAACAGTATCAGCTATAAAGCTTGCTACCTGAGATGTAGAAGGATTATAGGGAAACAAAGTTGTGGGTTTTTTTTTTTTAATGCTATCATTTCTACTAACTTTTGACACTTGTAGTTAAAATATTTTTATTTCTATGTATGAAAGTTTAAAAATGCTTTTTTTTAAGGACCAGCCAAAATAGTTCAGCAGATTAAAGCCTGCTTAGGCAGATGCAGTGGCCGGGACAACTGAGACTGGGCGTGGTGGCGCATGCCTGTAATCCCAGTGCATTGGGAACTTCATTGTAGGCTGCTATGCTGACACTATTACAGTCTAAAGTTTATGACTGGTTTTGGCTTTGGTTTGGCTTGGTTTTCAGTACCCAATGCCCATCAATTAAATTCTGGAAATGTCCTAATGGTAAGGAAGAGTTCTGTGTAGGATCCACCACAGGTATGTTCCTTGGGTTGGGAGGTAGAGGGTGAAGCATGTTTTGCTGTACTGCCATAGACTGCCTAGTACTCTTCAAAATAAAATAAATTGTTTCATCATTTCTTCTTTAGAAATCTATTGGGTACCACAAAATTCTGCCAAATTCTTTTACAAACTAGGATCCTTCTTGTGATTTATCTATGACAATTTTCCATTCAGCTCCAAATTTTTTAGAGTTGTCAGCAAGTCATTCCAATAGGGGCACACTCTCAAGCAGCTCATGTTCCTGTCCTATGTCTTTGCAGAATGAGATTTATCCTTCTGTGTTCTGGAGTTAGTTGGAAAATCTTGTTCTCTTCCATGACTTGGCAATAAAGAGCATTATCTCAATAATCCAATTTCCATAGACTGTTAGGATCTCCATATCTCCCATTTCCAAAGCCCTTAGTGTATCTTCAACTCTAAAACCAAGTAATATCATACACAAGTACAAGTTACCCATGATGATTATTGTGTATACATAAAATGGACTAATAAACATAATTAATAATAAAAAGATAGCGAGGTGATTTTAAGTTGGAGAGGATTTCAGTTGCTAACTCAATAGATTGGGTGAATCCAGTTTCACCACCAGAGGATATATCAATTCATTTTAAAACTTGGATTATAACTCCTGACCAAGCATAACAGGCTGACTTAGCTCTGTTTTAAAGTCCATATGATGCAGGTAAAGCAGGATCAGCAACATTCACTTTGACCTCAGAAATGAACAGTTGCACAGCAGTTGCTGCTCTTTTCTGGACATCGTTATATGTGTCTTTTCCATTCCACTGTAAGTGAGAAAAATTCTGCCATGTTTCTCTGGAAGCTCCAGTGTGGATTTGTTATAGGACCTCTCCTACATTCCCTTGGAGCATGCCCAAAATCATACCCTTATCCTCAAGAGTCTAGCTCAAGTAGCTCTATGGAACTTCTTGTTACACAAATATAATGGTGCACTAATTATTTTCTGAGGTTAAAAGTCAATGCTAAAAAATTAAAATAAAATTTTTAAAAAGTTGTGGTGGTCAGCTTCTTACACCCAGCTGAACTGAACAAGCATGGTCTGGGTACGGGAGGCACACCTGAGGGTTGTTGCCAGCAGCATAAAGGCAGAACAGGAGAAGCTGCTGAAATGCTGTTAGGGATGCTACTTGGAGAAGCTGTTGGAGCTGCTGGAGTCTGCTAGCTCTCTTGTGTTCTTCTGCTGGAGGACCTTGCCATACTGACTTTCCCGATGAACTTTGGAGGAGCTTTGGTCCTTATCTTGAGCATCAATTCCTGCCTCCAGAGGGGAAGACAGTGCACTGCTCAGCCTCATGAAACTTATTTCATTGGCTTTCCTGATGGGAACTCAGCTTTCCTAATTGCTGGAGGAGTTCGGGGCCTCACTGTTGCTGAGGACAGCTTTTGGGGGCACTCTGGTTCTTACCTTGAGCATTGCTTCCTAGCTCCAGTTCAGATCCCTCAGCTTGCTAGCATAGATCCTTCACCTCACTGGCATAGACTTTCTAGCTTCCACCACTGACCTTTGGGCCTTTCCAGCACAGATCCATGAAGCAGGCCTGCTTGAGACTTCGTTGTGGGCTCTAGGCCTCCAGTTGGACTGGTAGGAGGCATTGTTATGAGTTCTAGGCCCTCAACTGGATTCTTTAGTATTTAGTGTGTAAATAGATTTCCTGCACTTGTAGTGTGTGATTCTTGGATGATTCATTATAAAATACTATTATAAAAAATGTCCTGTACTATATTATTCACCTTGCAGAACCCCAAACCATGACAAAAGTCAATGTTGACTCCTTTTCTTTCCTCTTGTTACAGTTGATCCACAATAAACAACCAGTTCATTTGGACAGGCTTTTCAATAAGATTTGAGTCTTTGTACAGGTGTCACTAGCTAGCACCCAAGATGGAAGGGTGATTTCCAACTCATCTGCTACATTTTTTCCACTAAGAACTCTGGCATTGTGCAGGAACAGGTCACGATGGCATGCTCTGGGCCAGCTCCATGTGGTTAAGGAGCTTCTTGATCTTCCAGATTTCTGTGTTCTTGTCGGCAGCACTGAAGCCTCTGGTCCTCTCCACCTCTCCTCCCACCAATCTTGGCAGCTCTGACTTAGGACACCGTTCTCCTCTCTTATCTTCCTCCCTCTCCATGGTGTAATCCATTCATCTTGGGCCTCAGTGTTGAAGCCATAAGCATAGGTCTGCCAGTCACCTCAGTAACACCAGAACCTCTGAAATCGGTCACATATGGGACAGATCTTCCTGTCTGGTGCTCAGTGAAAAAGTGTAATGGTCAGTTCACCCCTGAAGACTGCAGCACTGGACAGTGAGGAGCCAGAGGGATTAGAGCCTGCCATGCCTCTGGCTACCGTAGAGCTGGAGACCACCTCAGAACTCTGACTTAATTTAAGTGCTTAGCTCAAAACTCCAGGCTGCGCATGTACCACTATGCCTGGCTCAGTTCTGCTACTTCTAACTTTCCAGAAAAGGGTCCAGTTTGTACATGCTGACACAGAAAACTGTACCTTACAAAGCCACCCTTTATAAAAGGTGTTAGGCTGGGGGTGGAGCTCTATGCTTGAGCGTGTACTTAGCAATTCACAAGTCCTGGGGTTTCATTCCAGCACCAAAAAAAAAGCATGTCCGCAAATAATGTTCTTGACTGTAGCACACGATACCATGGGAACTTGGTCTTTGAAATGAAATCATAAGGGCAGAAGAACTTGCACTGGATGGCAGTAGGTTATGATGGCCATTTTGGATAAAGCAGAGCAGATAAAATGGATTCCAAATTCTTGTTTTTTAAAATCATTTATTTATTTGTTACAGGGTCTCGATACACTGCTCAGACTAATGATCCTCCTGTCTCAGGCTCCCCAGCACTGGTTTCAGTGGGGCTAGCACGGTGCCAGTCCTTGCACTTGCCAGGCAGGTGCTTAGACCCCTGAACTATCTCCCCAGCTCCCCACATTTAAAATCTTCCCTGATGTGTATAAGAAGTTCACAAACAAGAAGCGTGAACTTGAATTCCTAAAATATGAATTAGACTAATTGACATCTTATTCACACATATACATACATATATACATACATACGCACAAACATACATGCACACACGAGCACATGGTCCTTTATTTGGGCAGTATTAATGTGAAGTGGAATAACCTTCTGGGAGAAACTGATAGCACTCTTAACAGTCTAGAATTCTTCAGGGAGGGGTACTGAGCTACTGCTCCATTCAGAGCAGCGCCCCCCCCCCCCCCCCGGTGAAGCCCAGCTAAGCTGTTGAGTCACTCAGCAGGTTCTATGGGCCATTTCAGGATGGGACTGTGTGCCCTGTGTCATGTCCACATTGCACACATTATTGCATCATGGTGAAGGGTGTTGTGCCTCATGTTTACAGTAAGCAATTTAATGGGACCAGAAGCCATAAATTCAGATGCCAGAACGTAGGGAGGGGGCTGACAGAAACACAAAGGAGAGCATGGGGCTCAATGCACATGTGCTCTGAGAGGCAGGGACTGCAGGGGGGTACTCAGGCTGGGGTCCAAGGACACAGCTGTTACTCTGCTCTCATCAACTTCACCTTGTGGGGTTGTGGGTCCAGACTAACTTTCACCGTTTTAAACTGATAGCCCAAATATTTATGGGAAAATATCTTGTGTATTAAGTGTTAGCCACCAATACAATTTGTAAAAAAGTATTAAAAAACCAAACAAAAAGCTTTTAAACTTTGGCAACCAAACAGCATGTCTATCAGCTACAACTGCCTTCTGGGTATCAATTTGAACATTCTAGATTAGATATGAAGGTTCTTTCTGATTCTAATTGTTTGATTCTGCTGAGTAAATCCTGGAACAGGTTGCTTGACTTCTCTGAGGTTCTTTCCCCATCTATGAAATGAAGACATTGATTCCTTGGTCTATCCCGCCAGATTACTATGAAAACCCATTAAGACATTAAAATCACTTTATTAAAGACAGGGGTTGTGAAATGTTGGGGACCACAAACTATAAATGGGATCTAGGGCCTTGATGGTTCTGTGATGCTCAGAGTAAGACTACATCAGCATAAGAACACTGCTGTCCCCTAAGTCATCCAAACTGACCCTCATCACCCTAAGATCTGTCTTCATCCTCTTAAGATCCTCAGGGCCCTCAGCCATCCCATACTCCCACCGATTACTGTGTGCATCCAGTTAATAGTGGCTAGCTTGGAAGGTCCTATCCTGAGGCACTGACCTCCCAGCCCTCTTCTGTGGATTACTAAATGTGTTTCTTTCTTTTCTTCATCCTCCACTATTTCCCCTACATAGCCAGCTGGGGATCTTGACCAGGTCCCTGACAGTGAAAAATTACTATAACTCAAGGGTGACAACCTAACCCTGAGAAGACTAAACCTTATGAGATAAAGAAATGTCCTCCAGTGGAGTCTACTGTGTCTTGCATTTGAATTTCAATAAACATTTATCTATGCTGAAAAGGTCAGAGAGACTTACCCTTCCATCTGGAGTTCTTGGTCCAGAGTAAGGTGGAGCCTCACCCATCAGAACTGGCCATACATCAAAAAATTCCTAGGAGTAAAAAAAAAAAAAAAAAAAAAAAAAGCAAAACAGTAATTACATGTTTTCAAAATAGACCAATAAAAGGAAAGTAAGAAGAGAGTAAGAAGTCCAACTGCTGTGAAAGTTGAAGAGTGAGAAAAACCTTGCTGAAATCTAAGGTGGTGAGCAGTGAGACCCACTGCCATCAGAGGACCATTCCATCTGCCCTGGGTCTGTCTAATCATCAGTCAGAATCATGAGAGTTGAGTTGGGCACCCTCAACTCAGTACTGTGGAGCAGGACAGGCCAAGTAGGATCTCCATGACTAAGAAACTAACCTTAAGGACATGCTAACCATCTGACTGAAGGATTAGCTAAAACATTCTCCTTCTGCCATGTCACTTATAGTAGTGAAAAACTGGGAACAATCTAAATATCTAAGCAGAAAGAACTTATTAAGTCAATTATGGTACATCTATTAACAATGGTGTCTGGTATATTTGTCTTAATTAAAAAGATGCTCTTAGGACCAGCCAGATAGCTCAGTGGACTAAAGTACCTGCTTAGGCAGGCTCAGTGGCCAGGGTTCAATCCCTGGCACCCTGCTGTGCCAGCCCTGCTTCCAGAGGTGCGCTGAGACAGTGACTGAGACTGGGCATGGTGGTGCACGCCTGTAATCCCAGCACTTGGGAGGCTGAAAACAGGAGGATCAGTACTAGTCTGATCTGTGTAGTGAGACCCTGTACTAAAAAACCATACTGAGGCTTTGAAAATCTTTATTGTTTTTAAAATTTTTTATTCTCGTTAAAATAAAAAGATATTGAAATTAAGACAGTATGAGTTGCAGAAGGCTTGATACATGTAACAATGGGACAAAACAGAGAAAGCAGAAACAGACTTATCCACACTTGGTTGGTGGCAAAGGCACAGAAAGCAAAGGTGGTCATTTCAATAAAAAATATTAGGTCAACCGGATAACTGTTGGGAAAACTTAACATTTACCTTGCCTCACAGTATGCGTATAAAATTAGATAGCTTGTAGAGAACTATGTGAAAAAGTTAAAACAATAAAACCTTTACAAGTTTACATAAATAAATATCTTTATGAACTTAGAGCCAGGAAAGATTTCTAAGCAGGGAACAAAAACCAATAACCATAAAGACTGACAAACTGGAAAACATCATTATTCAGAACTTATAGTCATTAAAAACACATTACAGTATTAAGAGAACCAAAGCACAAAATGAGAAGATATTTGCAATATATATATATATATATATATATATATATGATGTGTCCAGAATTTGTGAAAAGCTCCTACAAATCAATAGGGTAAAATGACAATACAATACAAAATGAGGAAAAGATTTCCATTTGACCAGCAAACATGAAAAAATGTTCAACTTCATCAATCACTGGGGAATGGATGCTAATGCTAAAGGAGATAAAGCTCATACCTATCAGAATGGGTGAGAATATAAGACTGAAAAATACTAAGTTTTGGTGAGAAATCCCAATATATTGCTAGTAAGAGTACAAATGGTGGGGCCGGGGAGATGGCTCAGTGGAATAAGCACTTCCCTGGCAAGTACAAGGGCCTGAGTTCAATCCCCAGTTCCAAAAAAGAATGAGAATGAATGTACTGATTCTACCTAGAGCACAAATCTTACAAGGATGAATCTTAAAATACTGAGAAAAAGAAGCCAGATACAAGACTATGTGTTAATATGATTCCATTTATGTGTACCTCAAAATAGCCAAAATCTACTGTTAAAGCTTTGATGGTGCTACATTTAGGAAAGAGGTTGTGTGTGGTACCGGAGAGGGAACCAAAGGAGCTTCTGAAGGGCTGGTAATGTTCTATTTCTTAATTTTGGTGATGGTAGTGTGGGATGCTCACTCTGTGACAATTTAGTGAATGAAACTATTTCTATAATTAGTTCTCCTTTCTGTGTCTGTTATGCTCCAACATAAAGACTTATTAACAAGAGTGTGTGCTTGACATGGGAAGATGCCAATAAAATATTAAGTTAAAAATGTAAAATATAAAAAGATATTGCCCAGAAATTTTTAATCAGCATGTCAGAAGATTTTCATGAAATGCCGAGTATGGGGGCCTTTGGACAACTAAGGTCTTTTTCAGCCCTGGACTCAACATTGGAGAGCCTGCTTTGGTCTACTCACCACACTCAGCATAGCAAGGCATGCAAAATGAAGGCAGGAATCCTGAACCTTGGGTGTTTGGATAAGAAATAATAAATCTAGATATTCAAACTCTCTCTCTTCCAAGGCTGAAAGCGATCAGCCCCACAAGGAAAAGATAAACAAAGAAAGAGAAATAGGAAAATGTATTTGGGAAAACGTAGCTGAAACCCTTTCCTGGGCTACCTTCTTAGCTCTACCTTCTTAGCTACCATACTGGCTGTCAGTCTGGCCTTTGGTCATTCTGGAGGGCTTCAGAAAGAATCTATCTCCCCTTCAATTGAGTCATGAACAAGACAAAATATAGGAATGTTTTATGCCCAACTTTGAGTAAATTTTCTGTGCATTCCTGAAGTTGGCAACTTTCTTCTGGACTTTGAACCTATACAGCAACTTCTTTTATCACTTATCTTTACTACCTCCCAGCCTTCTTCCACTTCTTTCTCTTCCAAAAGACCAAGGAACATGCCAATCATTTTTCTTTACCTCTGTCCCAGATTGACTCTCCCCTGCAAAAACTGGTTTTTTTTCCACTGGTCAGTAAACACCTGTATCCAACTTTTCACAATCATCCCCATTTTCCCAACCTCTCCCTGTGCCACTGCACACATGATGGGGCCCTACACTCTGTGCAGTAGGTCTGTTCACCCTTGAGTTGCCTGTCCTTTGATTTGCTCACCTTCTGCTTGGTCATATCTAGAAGACCCACAGAATATCTGTCACAGTTGAGGAAGGCACGGACTGTGTACAGGGCTTTGTGGAACTGTCTCTCGATATCTGTAAGCTCTTCAAAGACTTTGCTACCAGACCACAGCAGGATCTGAAGAAATAGAGAAACATGCTCAGCATTCTTGAGACACCAAGCAGTGGCTCACTCAGCTAGAGACTAACAGTTACTAAGTCTATCACAGTTAACTCTCATATAACGCAGAGAAGCAAATGGTACAATTATTCCAATTTTACAGATGGAGAAACAGGCTTAGGTGAAATAACTGGCCAGTTAACATAGGACATACATCTTTTCATTTTTTGTCTCATAGGCTAATAATAATAATAATAATAATAATAATAATAATAATGCTGAGGTTGTAGCCCCATGGCGGAGTGCTTGCCTAGCTGCTGGCTTTCACAAGTCTCTGGGTTCAATGCCTACAATTGCAGAAATAAATAACATTAGCTGAGTATAAGTGACCTATGTATATTATCTCACAACTTTAATGGTGATACCCCAATTATTTTCATTTTTTAAATAGGGAGATTACAGCTTAGAGAGAACAAGTGACCTGCTCAGGATCTAAGAGCTACTTAATGAGCAGAGACTCAAATCCAAGCTCTCTGACTTTGAAAATGCGTATGATGCTTGGAGACACATTTACAAACATCCACTACCTCATAACATGAGGGTCACTGGGCAGAGACTCCGCAATGCACCCCGGGCCTCTGCATTACTGTGTGGCTCTGCCAGTCCTGAGCCTCCCAATGCTTTAGTAAAAGGTCACACCCACTCCATTTCTTGAGCCAAGCTCCTTACCTGGCCACGTCGAGTCTCACAGTTGTGCAGGTAACTCAGGTGGAACACCTTCATGATTAGATTTGCAAAATTGAGGTACTTGAGAAGAATCTGAAAATGAAATAGGATTGGGCAAGCAAATGAGAAGGAGGAAAAATCTTTCCTCTGGCCGCTTCTATAGTCGGCAAATGTCTATAAGTTTAAAACCTTCATTGAAGGCAATTTCAACAACAGATTATAGAACACAAATGCAGAACCTGTTGCATTGAGTATAAAACTCATAGAATGTAGAGTATTAATGTATTCCTGAAGTATATTAATTTTTAAAAAGTTACTATTTACAGATATTCCTCCTTTAATGAGCCACCTGGATAATGACTGTTGGACTTACAACCATAACAAGCGTTGAATGAGGGATGTCTATATTGAACTTGCTGTCCCTGGCATAAGTCACTTTTATACCACTTAGTAATCACAAGTGTACTGTGAGGTAGACACTGTAAAATCATCCCCATTTTACAAATAAGCAAACAAATTTTGAGAAGTCCATTGACTTGCCCAAGTCAAACAGCTGTAGATTACAAGAGATAGAACTGGTGGCCAGGGAGATGGCTCAGTGGAATAAGCATTTCCCTGGCAAGGTGCAAGGGCCTGAGTTCAGTCCCTGGTTCCGAGAGAGAGAGAGAGAGAGAGAGAGAGAGAGAGAGAGAGAGAGAGAGAGAGAGAACAATTAACCTTCCACTCCTGACTTTAAAAACCACTGTTAGAAGCACTATTCTGTCTCATCTCCCTCAAAGAGAATCAGATGAACCTCCATCTTACAAATGGGGAATTTGAGGCCAGGCCAAACAGCAAGTTTCGGGGAACTTGGGCATGACTGTCCTAGCATGGCCAGCCCTGCACTTTCTGGGGGACACTCACCTCTTCATCTCTCTGGGTGAAGTAGGATCCTTCCACTTTATTTACAGCCATGATCACAGCCACTACATCCTTCCCGTTCATGATGGGGGTGGCCAATATGTTCTTAGTCTGGTACTCTGTGAGGTTGTCCACAAAGTCACAAAAATGCTCATCCTGAAGGAAAACAGAGACAAGCATAAGTAGGCACTGAAGAGGAACAGTAGAACAACCCAGGGTCCCTTATTGACAAGGGAATGATGACATCCCTTCAGCCAGGGCTGGGCAAGCAGACATGACTTGTGGTTGAAGTCTCCAAAGTCCAGTAGATGAAGGTCTGAGATGCAGCCCATCAAGGACCATGGAAAGGTGCGCAAAGTCTGCACCCCAGGGATGAAAGGGAGACAATGACTGAAGAGAGAGGCTGAAAGAAGGCTTCCTCGAGGTGATGACAGTAAGCCCAAAATAGAAACTTGAGTGAGAGCTATGAGGGAGTTGGGGAAAACACCCTAGTAAGTACAGTGGGTTAGATAAGGTTAGAGTGGGTTCAAGTCATGGAACAAAAAGACTTACTATGTTTAGCTTTTCTCACAATCCACTTCTAGCACCACCCAGCTAGTCCAATAAGTATCCCCATTCCATAAATGTCAGTGGAAGCCCCCCTGTTTGTAAGGCCTATACCAAACATTAAGACTTTGGATGAGTAAAATTAAAGTTTCACAGATACATCCATAATACTAATACAGGACTAAGGGCCTGACTGAAAGATGTGGGAATACAAAGCAGTATACTCCCTCCAACCCCATTCTGAAGGCAGTATAGGTTGAGTGTGAACAAGGAGGGGCCAGTTGTAGCTATAGGGCAGTATGTGTGGTCTGAATGAGGAGTCAGATCTTGGATGTTATCTTAAAGTTGAAAAAAATCCACTTTTGTGTTTCCTAGTGCCCCGTGAGTTTCCTCATTATCTGCATTACTCGAGACCTGAGCTAGCCCAAGGTTGCTCAGTGCGTGTTGTTCTGAGAATGGAAATACATTTCACAGGCTCAATTCAGGAATCCACTCACAGAACTTTTCTAAAACTAAGTCTGTACGATCTTTCCCATGATTCAGAAATTCTGAGTGTTACTGCTCTGTTTTTGGATTTCTTTACAGTTACAATGGAATTAAATAGGCAAAAGCATTGTTGTTTCAAGCCAGGTGAAGGGTAAAGGAATTAAGAGAAGCCTCTATTTGCATTAGCACTTGAGGATTAAGCAAAATCTCCAAGGAGGCATTAGCCAAAAACAATTCTGTGTCATTCTCTAAGGACACACTAATGAATTGGTGAACGCAGATGGAGGTGTGGCTTGCTCAGATACGTTTCATGTCCTCAGTTCAGTTTCTATTGAAGAATGCAAATACTTCAGCCCTACCTGCAGCTGAGGCAGAGTGTTTTGAAATCTACCAGAACGCTCTTTCCTTCTGAGTTCTCAGAACTGGAACTCTCTTATAAGCACTCCCGCTCCTAATTCACTGGTACCTACCTAATCATTGCCATGCCTATGTTTTCAGCATAGGGAATACCCTAAACAACCATGTTTCCAAATGATGATCAGAGGTAGAAGAATTAGAAGTCAGTTCACTCTAATCACTTATCTTAAAGAACAGAACTCAGAGGCCCAGGTAGCGAAAACCCAATGTCACTCACGCAGCAATCATTAGCAGAGTAGCTTCTCTATGTGAGGCACTGGATCCCGGGAGTGAATAAGAACAGGCTTCTTGCTCTAGTAAAACTGACAGAAGGGATGACAGGCTGAAGCCACATTAGTTAGTTGTGGTGGTCAGGAAAGCTTCTCTGAGGACATAGCACTGAGCTGAGAACAGAAGGATCAAAGGACTCAGGCACAGGACATGCAATCCATGCAGGAGCATAGAGAATACAAAGCCCAGGACGTGAGAATGGGTTTGAGAAGTCTGAGAAACAGAAAGATTGGTGTGTGTGTGTGTGTGTGTGAAGCATAGAGAAGGAGAGGGAGAACGAAACACAAGGACTTAGGAAGGCAGGCAGGTGCCAGATCCAGGAGGACTTTGAGAACACGGTAAAGAGTTTACATTTTAGAGTGTAATGCAATACTGCTTCTCAGACCTGATTCTCCAGTTGCCCTTTTCAGAACTTCACAGTGCCAGGCTCTATTGTACCCCATGACAATGTACTCTTAGCTAACCATGAATAAGACCTCCCCTTGCCAGCTAGCCACCCACCTCAAAGATAAGGCCCTAAACCATAGTTCAAGGACAAGTAAACAGACAGAAAAAGCTGCACATGGACCACCAAAAACAACGTTCAGCAGAGGTCCGCAAAGTTATGGCAAGTTCCACGTTGCGGGGGAAGGGTCTCTGACTCTCCCTGTAAAAACAGCCCGGAACAAAGGGCTCACGGGTCCTTAATCTTTCCAGAGTACTGATTCTTTTTTATTAGAGTAGCTATCTTCTCTTTTCCCTCTTCCTTTTCCACCTTACAAATAAAATGTCTTGCTTCATTAAATTTGTCCCTCTTTTTACTGGGTCTGAGTTTGCTATCCCAGTGGGCTGCTGGTGCAGACAGCGGTGCTTGTCCCTGGATGCAACAATCAGATGTACTTACTGAATAATAATGAAGTACTAGGCCAGAGCCAGACAACTTATGTGTATTTCTCATTATCTCATATGAGCCCTGCCACTCAAAACTGTCTTTTTCATTCTTATTCACCGAGCCCTGGCTCTGTGTCAGACATTAGCTATGCCAAGACCAACAAAATGAGGTTGCTTCTCATAGTATAGCAGGATTTCATGGAAAACAGGAACTCACAATTCAAATCATAATGCAAAGCAGGTCCCCACAGAATGAGTGACGTAACCTGGGGCCCCAGGGGTTAAGGCCTATGATTGGCTTTAGGGGTATTTCCAGAAATGGACACCTCTCTGAGCCTCGGTCTTCCCTTTGGTAAAATCAAGAGTGATGGAGCAGGCTCTCCTTGAGGTTTCTCTCTTCTCTAGCGTCCTGGGTCCTAGGTCTCCAAGAATGGAAGGACAGTAGAGGCAGACCGGATGTGACCATCTCTGAGATGATGGTCTTCTCAGGGTCAGCCTTCAGAAGCAAGAGTGGTTGGACAAATGAAGTGCTGCAGAAGAGCTGTCATTTATTCCTTCCCTCACTCAGCCAGAAGCAATGAATACCCTCACTGTCCCAGCTTCTGGACTAGGTGCCAGGAACCAGCGGTGAGTAAGACAGGGACAGACAGCCTCATGGCTTTCCTGTTAGGAAAGACGGTTAAGGTTAATAAAAACATGATTCCCTATTAAATTAGAATTTCAAGTAAATAATTTATCATTTGAGTTGTATAGTTGTATGTCAAATATTACATGGGACTTATTTAGATTAAAATATTATTCTTTGTGGGGGCCTGCCCATTAGCTCAGTTGTTTAAGTGACTGCTTAAACAGAGCAGTCAGTCTCAGGTTGCTGTGGTTCAATCCCCAGATGACCAAGCCATATCAGACCTGCCCTGAAGGCATCCTGAACCAGCAAAAAAAAAAAAAAAAAAAATCCAGCCTGAGTATACAAACTGCTAAATCATCGTGGCCCTGATTCAACATGGCTGAATCCCAAAAGCAATAGCTCATCTTCCCATTGACCACTTCCTCCTTCTTCCACACGCTGGTCCCGAATACAACTTCCTTCTACCTCCCCCGCAACTCTCCACCCAACAAGGGAGACCCCAATCAGCTCTAGGCGGCACTGAACCTGTCCCTCAAACCCTGCCCCTACAAGAAGTCCGTAAGATCTCAGCCTTCGTTTGTCTCAGGTCAGAGGAGCTCCCTCAGATCCTCTCCATGTCCTTGGGGTCAATAAAGCCTGCCCCCCCATCCCCACCACCCTGCTTCTTTTACTTCTGCACTGAAAAAAACCTAACACTTCACCTAAAACTCAAACTTAACTGGGCATCTTACATCATATCTGGAAGTTCTAATTACAGTTTTTCCTAGAATGATTCTAAGAATAAAAGAAATCTGCCAGTGATAGGTATATTAGAGTCCTAGAAAATTCTTTATGGTTTCACTTTTCAGAAATACAGTTATTGTAATCATTTCTCAAGTGTTTGAGGTCACTTTTCAGCAGGCCAGGGACAACCTAGACTCCAATCCATACCATGTCCCTCCTCCATTCACCTTTACCTTTTGGCTGTTAAGACCATGTCCTGCCCTTAGCCAAAAACTGAGGAAAGATTTTCTGGGAGGACAAAGCAAATGACTTGCAAATACTGAGTACACAAAACTCCTTGGCCTGGACTTACTGCACCCCCAGGCCTGAGTCACAGCCAGGGAGATTGCCCCCCACCCCAGGCCAATAGCTTACAGGGAAAGACAGGTGTGGCTTCCCTGGTAAACTCCACGGGTTGGGCAGGAAGCAGCAGTCCATCATTTGCTCAGAAATGCAGCAAACTGTTGGGTGTGAATCTTTTGGAATCAGAGGACCTTTCTAAATTTTCAATCCCATAATGCCAGGGTCCACTGAAGCTTTGTTCTCTTTTCCTAGAGGCAAAATCTAAACCACAAACCTGATACAGCATCCATCACTTAGAATAGATCCCTAACAGCAATAACAAAATAATGCTAATAAAAATGAAGAGGAACTGTCAAGGTGAGTCATTACCATGAGCCATGAATAGTGCTGAATGAGAAATACTCCCCTTATTTAACCCTTACGATGCTGTGAGGTAGCTGTTATCACTGTTTTGTATGTTAGAAAATGAATTTAAATAAGCTAAATGATTTGCAAAGACTGAGTTCTTAGAAAGTGCCAGAATTCACACCTAGATCTGATCTCAGCATAAGATCTTAGCTCTCTGGCGTATGACTAGAAATGACCATTCTTCTGTGACTCTCAGTCCAGTACTCTCACTGTATAGATAAGGACAGAATACGGAGTAGCAAAGGGCCCGCTCTAGGGCTCAAGCCCAGAGTGCCTGGGTGCAGACTCCCTGCCTACTGTGCTGCTTTCTGTTTGTGGGACCCTAAGCAAGTGATTCAGCCTTTCTAGCTGTCAATTTTATCATCCGTAAGATAGATAATAAAAGTTTTTTCATAAGATTATTATGAAGGTAAAACAATCAAGACAGTACATGTGATTAGGACAAAAGTCCGGAGTCTACAGAAGGGAGAACAAACTCCAGCTGAACAGGAGCACACCCCCCTTCCCCAACCTTCAGCCTGGAGAGCATTGCCAGGGGGAGTGAGGGAAGATGAAAGCAGAGATTAATTACCCCACTGCGGAGGCCACCCAGTATGCTTCCCACTGAGGCCCAAGCCTGGGTTTCCTGACTCATTTGAATTCTTATAGTAGTAGATTCTTGGAGTAGAAGTCCTGACTTGGCCCTGACTCTTTGATGACCGTGGGGAGACCCCTTTTCAATGTCTCCTGGTTCAGTCCTTAACAACTTAACGAGACAGTTGGATAAAAGGATCTCAGAATCCCCTCTGTCCCCTGCTGTAAACCCCAGACACTTAACCTGAATTTAGGCCAGGGGTAAGGCAAGAACAAAGCCAAAGTGTCTGGGGGCTAGATCTTGTAAATGGCTGAACCTGGTCTTCTTGTTTGGTTAGCAGCAGTAAAAAAAGACCCAGATGAGCCTGTTGTGATGGGGCAAATATTCTTTTAATTGAGACAGGAGTTAAATTATTACATAATTCCTTGACATAGGTTGAATCTCATATACTTCATTTGTTGACCACTTGCTTTGCACCAGACATTGCACAAGATCCTAAGATAAATGGGGAATAAGGCAGACATGGCCTCTGACTCCAGGGCTTGTTGTGGTAACTAATTTTAGGAACCAGACTCTAGTGGGAAGATACAAGAGGCTTTCCTACTGAGATCTGAAGGATAAGTAGGAGTGACCCTGACAGAGGACTACATGGGAAATTGCACTGTAGCCTTTAAATTTCAAAAACTTTTATTTATTTATTTGGTACAGGGTCTCACTACACAGCTTGGACTCATAGTGATTCTTCTGTCTCCACCTCCCCAGCGCTGGGATTACAGGCATGTGCCACCACATCCATTTTTGTTGGTCAAACCCGGGTCCTGTGCTTGCCAGGCAGAAGCTTCGACTGCTGAGCTATCTCCCCAGTGACATTGTGTCCTTTAAAAAATAATGTCAGTCATGGGGCCAGCCAGATAGCTCAGTGGACTAAAGCACTTGCTTAGGCAGAGTGCAGTGGCTGGAGTTCAATCCCTGCCCCCGGGGTGCACTGAGATGGCCACTGAAAGTGGGCATGGTGGTGTACACCTGTAATCCCAGCTCTTGGGAGGCTGAAAACAGGAGAATCACTGAGTCTGATCTGTGTAGTGAGACCCTATGGACACTGTAGACCCTATAGACCCTGTGTCAAATACATTTTAAAAAATACATACAAAAAAAAAAGTTAATGTCTGAAGTCTGGTGTGGCGGGGCATTCCTGTAATCCAAGTACTTAGGAGGCTGACAGAGGAGAATTGCCCAGTGTTCAGGGACAGCCTGGGCTACATAATGAAACCCTGTTTCTAAAAAACTAAACAAACAAACAAAAGCTAATGTCCCAAAAGGGGAAATAATTTGCTCATGATGATCAATGAGGTCTTTGTCAGAACTGAGGATAGAAACCCATGGGCCTGTAGACTCTTAGAAAAAGAACCAAGAGCTTAAGAAAGGTGACCAATGTTAACACATACAGTAATGGGACAGTTGACCATCAGATCTCCTTATGTAAAGCATGAAGAAAGATCTATATCACTTCGGTAATATTTTTGACAAGAATGCGCAGCCTGGATCTAACATCAAACAAGCCCAAATGGAAGTATATTTCTACAAAATACTTCCTCTATACCCCTCAAACATCAAATTCATGAAAAACACAGACTGAACAACTATTTCAGATTCAAGTATATAAACTAAACATAAAGGAGTACATAGGTATAGTTAAGACACTGGCAAAAATTTAATATGAGCTGCTTGTTAGATAAGTATTATATCAACATTACATTTCTTGAATTCAATCATTATAGTTCAGATATGTAAGAAATGTACCTGTTCTAAACCTGTAATCCCAGCACTCAGGAGGCTGAGGCAAGAGGCACCAAGGTGAGCCAGAGCCACATAGTGAGTGTAAGGCCAGCCTGAAGGACATATGCAGCCAGACCCTATCTCAAAAAAACAAAACAAAATAAATCAAAATAGAATGGAATATTTAGGTCTGAGATGAGATCTGTAAATTCCTCTCAAATAAGTCAGAAAAATGGAGGCAGAAAATAAACATGATAAGATGGTGATGATTTGCAGATTTAGGTGAAATCTAGTCTTTTGCATTATTTTAAAATTCCTCTGCTTAGTTGGAATTTTTTTCCCAAACAAAATATTTGTAGTGCCGGGTGTGGTAGTGCATGCCTGTAATAGCAGCTTGTGGAACGCTGAGGCAGGAGGATTGCATACAGTTTGAGGCCAGCCAGGGCTACATAGTGATTTCAAGGCCAGCCTGAACTACAAAATAAGACCCTGACCAAAAAAGAAAAAAAGAAGTTATAAGTAAATGAATAAAGGTGGCTTGTTATCACCAGTCTGGTCTTGGAGGCCAGCAGCTTCCCACCCCACTTGTAGCCCAGGACTCCAGGGAATAATGCCTCACTGCCCTCTGTTATGGGGAAAAGAGTACCTCCTCTGTGTTGGGGACGTTGGCCAGCTTTTTAGAATGTGCAACGTGTCCCACGACACCCATGTCCAGAGGGAAGACAATCTCTGAGTCGGGCATCACCAGGCAGTCTTCAAGGACAGCGTCCTTGTGCACGTTGAAGAGCCGGGTGGCCAGCTCTGCGATGCCATTGCGGGCCCTGTACATAAACAAGCTCATCCGATCTGCCTGCAAGAGGAAGCACAGCTTCTTCATGACATTGAAGGTGCACTTCTCAGTCTGTAAGTTTTCCTGGAAGTCCCGTAGGAGATCAAAGATGATTTCACTCTCTTCCACACTGCTCAGTGAGTGGTAGCTGCTGAAGTCCACGGCCACCTCCTTGGCTCCAAGAAGCTCTGCGATAACCTTGGCCCGGTAGCGGAGGTTGTAGTACTCTTTGGCAAAGCCAATATGTGAGTCCAGAAACTTTTCCACCTCTTCTGCTGTCACCTCACCCATGGCTGGGAATCCCTCTGGCTACTAGTGTGGAGTGGCTAAGGTTAAAGACTTCTAAGGCAGTCTGTGGCAAGTTGAGTCAGAATGCCCTGCTATCATCTGGACCTCTCAGGTCTTGTCTGTCAGTCTCATGGACAAGGTCTCATAGAAGCCAGAATGAGCTTGGGGGATTACCTCATTAATATTTCCTGATAATAAGGATTATGAGGATCAGTGTGTTCCAGATGCTACTGGGCTCATGGTAGGAGACTGTAAGAGTTCCCTTTCACCTTGGTCTTCTAAGAGCTGAGATTTCTGTACAGAGCAGGCAGTTATCCTTTCAGTTGGCCTTAAGCAATGTATACTGGTCTAGCTGAGATGCTGGTGGTAATTTTTGAAGATGGCACATGTGTTTCCCTGATAACCCACACCTGCTGCTCTCCAATATGAGCCAGGTTGAGACAGGATGAAAAGCTAGTGCTCCACGCTGTCGGCTGGGATCGAGCCTCAAGATAGAGGCTGCGATTTCCTGGGGCTTAAGGATTACACATCAGAGCTGAAGCACTGACCCCAAAACATAAGATACTATCTCAATAGCATAATGCAGATTACTCTGTCTGCATATGATGGAGGTAAATGCAAACCACCCACCTAGCCCAGCTCACAGTAATCATGTACGTCCTCAAGCCACTCCTCCTATGCATGTCTTAGTGTCTTTGTTTTCACCATGGGTTGCACTTGGAGTGGTAGATTGGAATTAACTCAGTGGAATTCCAATAACGTATTTTTAGGATTATAAGTATAGATTTTTTGGGCTGAGACGAGAACCAGGAGGGACTCCTACACACCTCTACACTGTAAATATAGTTGCTAGAACTTTGAACTTTGTAAATGAACTTTATTGGAAAGTAGATTACTTCCTTTGTTGTAGCATATAATAAATTCTTGGGGCACTGCACCCATCCTTCAGCAGGGAGGACAAAGGTTCCCCCTGCTCAAAGGTAAACATGGTGACCTCAAATCCTGAAGATTACTTTTACCAGATTTTAAATTCAACATTTATGTTTGTGATATTAATCTATATTATTATGTGTAGCGATAGTTCATTTATTCTTGTTGCTCTGTAGTATTCCATTAAATGAATAAACCATGTTTTATACATTATTATGAAAAAAAGGGTGCCTCTCCTGGGGCTGGCAGCCCACACCCACCACACATTCCATCCAAATCTTTTTTTCTGGCTCTCACCCATGTTGTCTTCTCATACTGCAAGCTTCCTGGTCATACTGGTCATCTCTGGTTATCTTAACCCAGCCAGTCCCCAGTACCCTGATCATAGTTCTTCCCTGTCATATCATTGTTTACCTTGTTATATTTATTTATTACATTTATTATCAGAAATTATCTTAGCTAGGCGTGGTGGCACACACCTATAATCCCAGAACTAGCAAGGCTGAGGCAGGAGGGTCACTATGAGTTTGAGGCCAGCCTGAATGGGCCTCAAGAAAGTACCCATCTAAAAAGAAAAGAAAAGAAAAAGAAAGAAAGGGAAAGATTATTATTATTATTATTATTATTATTATTATTATTATTTTGAAGCAGGGTGTTGCTGTATAGTTCAGGCTGCCTCTGAAACTATATAGCCCAGGTTGCAGGTTGGCCTCAGACTTGTAGCAATCTTCCTGCCTTAGCCCCTTCCCCCCATTTCTGGGATTACAGGCATGTACCACCACACCTGGCTAAATCATCTTGTCTGATTCTGTTGCAATATCTCTTCCCTACCATTCCATGAGGTTTATGGGTTTATGAGGGTGAAGACTTGTCCAGGTTGGTTCCCTAGGCCTAGCAGTGCTGCCTGGGACATTCTTAGACTTCACTATGTTATTTTTATGCATTGTATATGTTCTTCATTAAAAATTTAAAAATACACAAAAGCACAATGAGAAACTAAAAATAAAATATAATTCCGGGTATTTCATAGCCAGTATTTTTGTACATTTAAAATTTTTGAGGAAAAAATATAAATAAAAGACTGTACCATGGTTTTTTTCCCACTTTACAAAACAGCAAGAAGAAATATCTTTTCTGGGGGTGGATAGTCTTTTTGAGGATGGGTTGTTCAAAGCAAGCCCAACACTTCCCTACGCCCTTCTCGTGCATGGCCTGTACCACTTTTTACTCTTGTATATGTTCCCATCAGGGAGCTCTGTTGGCAGGAGGTCCTCAGCGGAACCAAGCAAATGCTGAGGACATGCTCTTCTTTTTGGTACCAGGGATCAAACTCAGCACCTTGCGCTTGCCAGGCAGGCACTCAAGCCACTGAGCTATCTCCCCAGCTCGGACACCACGCTCTGGAACCACCCGCACTGTGAGCTGAAATGAACCTTTTACTTGCAAATTACCCCCGTTTCCACTGCTTTGCTATAGCAACAGAAACAGACTTCCAGCTGCTGAGTACAAATTGCCTGTTGTCCTGAGAGGAATTACCTGCCTCTGTAATATGCTTGACTGTAGATGTCAGAGTAAAAACAAAACAAAACGAAACAACAGCAATGCCAGAACTGGAAATCTGAAGCTTCCTTCAATGGGACTAGGGGCTATTGGTGACATGAGGAGACATGTCTTGTGTGACCCAGGTGAGAGGACAGTGTGCACTGCTAGGAAGAGGAGTGGGCTGTACAGGGTGCAGGCCAAAGAGCCACTGACTCTTCTGTGACTGTGAGAAAGTCATGGACCCTCTCAGGGCTTGCTTCCCTGTCAACTAAACAAGGTGCCGAATAGCTGGCCTATCCTTCCTGACCAACAAACTTTGCTGAAGGAGTCTCCCAGAATAATAGCTGCCCTGACTGTGCGATGCATCTTTTGTTTAATAACATATGAATATCTGTCTGTGCTATTAAATTTTTTGTTACCTGTTAATTTTCAGTAGCCTCATAGACTTTTACAGTATCTGCGCCCTAATTTAACATATTTCCAACTGTTATTCAGGCTGTTTCTAAGTTTTATTTGATTATCTTCTGCTCTTCTTAATCAAAAACTTGACTGAAATGATGCAACAGGGTCATCACTAATCCTTCAAGTCCTGGCTACCCAGAAATCTGTGTTGAAATAAAGAAATAATAAGAAAGTTGATATTTTAGTGTCCAGGTCATATTTTATTTTAAAACATCATCTCCCATAGCTCTTAGCCCACATTTCTGAAAAACCAGATCTGGAATAGTGGAGCTTGTGATTACCACGAAACATCAAATAACAGATTATTTTTTGTACCTAAATATTTGTAGGAAGAATAATTTGCCCTGATTCACCCTAGAATAAGAGTCACATTTCTTTTCTTTCTCCAAGACAAATTTTTAGTGCTCCAAGCCTCCACATGGCTATCCTGGAAGGATATTCAATTCCAATTATCATTACAACAAATGCCCCACCCTACAGTCCTGTGAAGAACCATTGACCTAGCTTAGTCCAGCCCTGTAGAAGCCCTCTGGGCTTCAGTCCATGCTGTATTCACAAACGAGCCTCTATGGAAGCTGGTTTGGCCCCTGATTGGCCCACAGTTCTAACCCCAGATGGGGCTCCCGTGTTCTTGCTGTGGGTAGGCTTCCCTGGAGAGGGCACCAATAACCACCCAAGAGGAGGTCCTCCTACCACTCCAGGGAAAGGAGAAGGCCCTAGATCTTTTTACTCAAGGATCCTGCAGAGCCTAATTCATTTTTCTGTCTTAAGGAAGCCTCTCAAAATTCTCCTGCCTCACTACTTAGCCCTCCCTTTCAAATGGCGAAATTAGTATTTCCACATCAGACCGAAAATTATAAAAAACAGAGCTTATTAATAAAGCCAGCCATCAGACCCTTCCCGGGCTATGGATCTTAAATGTCTGGCTGGCCTTCGAATATGCTTCCCAGATCCTTCCAAATTAGAAGCATGGCCACCTAATTCTTAGTTTCATTTTGTCTCTGCTTAAATACCTTCTTGGTTTCCATGGCAATGGATTCTTCTTTGAAATTAGTTTTGTTTTCTTCTTATGTCCACAACATCTTTTTTTCCCAAAATTTTATTGATAAACAGCAATGAGACAGTTTCAAATCAAATCGGAAGTACAGTTTCAACAAATAACACACTGCATATATTCTTCTTAGTGGTTAATTGCTGTACAAGATGCGGACTTGAGATCCTATTCACAAACACCATTAGAACAAATCATTCTATTCATTAAGAGAATGCAACTATATATCTATCCCAACCACTTTGAATACACAGATACAAAATGGACATTCATCTGTATACCCCATTTTTTCTAAGTTCCATTATTGAATATTATAGGTGTGTAAACTCAGCAAAATATTCTAAAAGAGTCCAGTAGACCATAATAGCATTGGGTCTTCTGTTTAACTGGCAATGTCAGAAATTATTGACCTGAGTCCCCCACAGCTCAACATAACAGCATGGCTTGACTTCCTGTATTTCGTCTTCATACTTTTCTACTGGATGGATAAGACCAACGTAAAGCAGGACCTGTGCAATAAGAGTTGTAGCTTTTTGGTCTGAGAAGTGAAATCCCCTCAGGATTTATTCTGAGATCCTGTACCTCAGATTGTAGAACCTTTGTCAGTGTCAGCCATGTGGATGAGTCACGGCCATTGCTTGGCCAATGTGCTCTCTGTGAAAGCCAGAGAGAGGGTTTTCTCCCCATGTGACTCTCCTTAGGCACACTCTACATCATTGATCACTTTCCCGTCCACAACATCTTAACAAGGGTCGGAAAGGTTATGAAGACGACAAGATGCAATGTATTAACATTATTGTAACTGTCCTACTAACCTGTTTTGAAATTGTCTCATTGCTATTTCTTTTTCATTAAAAATTAATTTAAAAATTTCAAAAAATAGATAAAATAGAAGGGTGTGAAAGGAATCAAGGAGTTACAGCATCTTCACATGGGTGGGAAGGCTAAATCAGAGCTTCTTTTGCCAGGATCAATTAATGCAATTGAGAGCTCCCACCCCCTCCCTGCAACTTCTCCCTGACTCCAGAGCAATTCAGCGTGCTTCCACACTAACGCCAAGATCTGGAATGATTGTTTCCTTGGATTTAAGAATTGTCGCTTCCAGCCTTGCTACACAGTAGCCCTGTGAGACAAGTG